TTTGGAATTGTTTCGCGCGACACCCGTGCCAACGCTTTGAATTCTCAATCGTAAACGTGTTCGCGGAGTAACCTCCTCAAACTTTCCTGTCGTTTCCTATTAACCCTTCCTGTTTTTAAATCCCTTCCTGTATACATAAGTACACATATCTCTCAGTTGCGACGCGACGCGACGCGGTTGCCAAAGATTCAACGTTGATCGAGAAACCGTGCGCGACAGAGTTTCGGATCTACAACGTATACAGGATGGATTTTTCTCGTCAAGGGCAAACATTTTGATCGATACAGACGCGTCCGTCCCGAGGAAAAACGGAGCTGAGCGAGCTACGGCGCAAAATGGGTACACAACGTGCACCCACGTTGCTACACGAGAATGTAACATACATATGTACATCGAGCGTTCTCGAGTTAAGTCATTCGCCAGAATTAGAACCTTACTGGCGAATGATGGACGTCCGCGTTTCAAATTCGATATATGTATGTATGCACACCGATTGCACGAGAGGATTTCGTATGGCGGCGTGCACTCGATTAAAATGCAATCTTCATTTTGGATAAAGGAAATGTACATCTTACGGCAGCTTAACAAGTAGTAGATATCAATGTGATATCTGCTCATTTTTATGCAAAGCGATTGCAAGGAAGAAAAGCGCTATAATAGCTTCGAATCTTGTTAGAGGAAATTGAACAAAGTGCGTTTACATTCCGACACGCTTGAGAAATACCTGTTATGCTGATAAACAGTTTTCGAATACGTTAGAGCGTTCATTAGCTCAATTAATTCTTGTCATTTTTATACATTTCGCCTATGAACAGACTGCCATTCGAATATTTTCATTAGCTTAACGTTATTCTCTCAACGAATCAAGCAGTTGCGTTCCATACAAAAGCAATTTCTCGATCCGGCAACTCGTTATTATTCTTTCTTTTACGGTTCATCCCACACCAGCCTCCCTCTCGCGCATTTTCTCTCGAGTTATTAACGAGATATATGTACCTTCCATCGTACTCTACTCTCGTGTTAACGACGCTACTGTACGCCTCAAGTGCCTTTCCCCCTCGTTTCTTTGTTCCCTTTTATTATCGAGCCATCGAAATCGTTTCGTACGATTACTCGTCTGCGTTCACTTCCGTCTATGCGAATGACGCGGTTACGTAAGCCGTTCTAGTCGCTTTTCAATCTAATTTTGAAGCGCGGTTACGTTCTCTTAAACTCGCCAACCCACCTTCGCTAACCAGAATTACTGCGCATTCGTGTTCAATCTTTCGACAACAATCATTCTGACGCGTCAGGATAAATATTGCCTGAAATACCCGCAACAATTCAGATTTCGGCTAAGATAACGTGCAATATTTCAACCGTTTCTTTGCTCTCGCGTTCGAATCCTTTAATGGATATAAATGAAAAGTATCGAAAGTGATCGTAGTAACTCGTTCGACCAAAGAAGCCTGTGCAGGCCTTAAATAGCTGACGGTTTCGTATCGAACCGAGGATTACCAGTTAATGAAAGTTAATGAGGAGTAGCGAGCGGAATAAGTCGGTCGATCGAGTTGCGCCCAAGTATGCGGCGATTAGGTCGCAGCAACAGGGGCAACGACACCGTGCAGTCCCAAGTCTCCGAGACGAGAGACAGGATGGGCAGGATGCATCGAATTTCAAGCACTTAACACGAAGATCGGTGCAACACTTTCCTTCAGTTACAACCCTTCCTTCCTTCCACTTCCCTGTTCCTGTTCATCGACTATCCCTGTCCGGCTTTCGTCATTGTCACAACGTCGCTGACCCGTGAACCAATAGGTAGGCTATAGATAGGTTAACCGAGACTATCGAATTTCATTGTCACTGCACCCTCGAAAAGCAACGTTCGATCGGGCCGCGACAGGTGCGGCACGATTTACGGACAATCTCATTTCATTCCCGTCCGGTTAACCAACCGGAAGAAACTCCCTTTAAACACCTTCGCATCCAGCCATTTGACCCTTTTCAAATACTACGATTTTTCTGGACAATACGTTGCTAATACAATGCCGTCTCCCTATTATGGCTATCCTAAGCTTGCAAAGATTTGCAAGAAAATTAATGGCGAGTGCTGGGAATACTGCTACGCTACCTAAAAGGGATAAGACCTTCCCCTTTAAGTGCCAAGGTGCGGGCTCAAATTACCACCACTTTGAGGGCTCGTATTGTACCCCGTTCTCTAAGTAAGTGGCAAGGTACAAATCTGAGCTACTGCCACTTACATCTCTGTCTTTGAAATGGGAAAAGTGCGAGCGCCGCCTTCGAAGGCGAAGGTAACGCGTTGCATCCCTTACGACGGTGCCTTGATTGAAGAGGGAATGGTCTAAGGGTGGCTGGCTGACTGTTTCGCGTGCACGGTGCACACGCACCACGGCAAAGGCAAAGAGGAAGAAATCGATACGACGCCTGCGCACTTGAAAAGTTAACCCCGCTGGAATCGGCGTCGTTCATCCTACTACTCGTGCCTAGGGTTCTTCCCATCCCCATACTCTCGAAGCCGAATCGTTTTCGTTATCGAAACGGAGAGCACCCCCGTCGCCACTAATTCATCACGTTTCGCGTTTTATTGCCATCTAGCAAACGCTGCCGTTTTACCATCTCGTTTCCGACGTGAGATGCTACCAGGCCAACTCTGCCATACACCGCGATCTTTCGCCTTTGCCTAATGTCGTCTACACGGCCTCGTGACACACCAAACTTTAACCTACCTCGTTCTTTACCAGCGACTGACCCGGATATATTTTGGCTCGCGATTCAACCACGACCTAGACAGACGTCCAATACCTTTCCCACAACTATTTTAACGCTTCACTTTCTGCTTGCAGATATTACGTCGCTAAACATGAAAAATAATTTCCCGATCGTCCGACTCCTCCTCCGTGTCTCCTTGAGATTAATATACGTAACAATCAAGCGCTGCGATATAATAACCGCGACATTTCTTTGTTCCGTGTGTTCGAAGAAATGTCAGAGATATAACGGTAGGAATACAAGCTGTCCTTGAAAAAATGTCGCCACGCTTTCACGAGGATAAGTGATTCTGTCCGTGTTATCTCAGCATTTGACAGCAGCATCTACTTAACATCGTAATGAAGCCGAGCACGTAACAAAGCAGTCGGATATAAAGTATCCGTAACGAAGCTGTTGCTGTTTTAAAGTGACACAGCTTGCAATTCTATGCAATTCTATGACGGTAAATAAATAGATGTTTTTAAGGGGTGTACAGTTGAGCAGAGGCGAAACGGACCAAATGCTGATACTTGTTTAAAAGAACGGGTAAAAGAGATGACCTAAACTTGATCGAACGGTTATTAAATGTATATCATTGAGCATTTAAGTAGGAGAAAATAGACTACATCCTGCAGTCGAGACTCAGAAATCATACTTTCATAGATAAGATAATTGCAGATGGCGAGGATCGATGAATTTGATACAGGATACGGGGTAGAATCGTCGACTCGAAGATTGATTTACCGTTGATGTTCGAACACGTCGGACCGGCTCCGATTCAACGAGCATATCCGACCAGTGGTTTTCGTTGTTTGTTCACGTGTAACGTGGCACAACTTGCCACAAGACTGTCGTTTTTGCTCAATAATTCTATTCGCACGACCAGCACGCGATCAACTGTTTCCTCGCGCGTAAACTTTCTTTTTCACCCTGGCCACTATACATATACATAACTTGCGATTACTTTTCTAGAATAGTACAACATTACAGATCTTTCAAATGTAGGCTACCGTGAAACCTGGACACTTCAATCCGGTCAATGAAAACGGTGTCGAAAAGGTGTTATCGTCGTTAAGCAGCGACCGGTAGAGTAAACGACCGATGAGACAAGGATTCTCGCGACACGAAATCACGTAACAGATTTAAACGTATTATTTCCAACAGTATCTGGAGCAACCTGTTTGAAAACATGGCCGCGTATTAGAAACGTCCCTGACTCGGGATGTAATTAGCTCGATAATAGTGTTTCCAGCTCTATGCAGTTCAACGGAAAAGCCGATTTGATGATACCCCGAGCGAAAAGAAACTCTATCATTTGATAGAATATTTCATTATTCCTTCCCTTTTTTTCATATTCAATTTCTTATCTTTATCGAATAAATAACCGTGTAATTTTTCAATTAAACCATAATTAAGCGTTCCGCATGCTTTCTTAAAGCTATACCGTGTAAATATTTTAACCGGCAGATCGTAGAAAATAAACGAACCGATACACAAGCGAGTTGGCGAGAAAGTTTCTCGTTTCATGAGATTAAGCGCGAAACGGCTAAATTTATTCAACTTCAAGACTCGTTAGACTTTGCGTTAATGTTTCTACGTACGAGATAGGTTATGCAATATTAAAGTGACATGACCAGTTCGAGCGTTGGATCGTGTTACATCGAGTGTACTGCATGCAACGTGCCACGGTTACTTTTCAAACGTGATATTCAAGAAAACCCATCGTGATCGTGAACCGTTCTCAAGGTGCGATGTTTTAACGCTAAAAAGGTGAATATTAGACTCGCCGTGGTAATGAACGTGCACCATTCAGCAACGTGGTAATTACTGTTCAAAAATAAAAGACTCCTTTACAACGAGCCGCCTGCATACAGTACACACGTCGTTTCGTTTGACAGTCACGTGTTGCGTATGTTTGTTACGACATCGTTTATTGTCTCTTTTTATCGCTACCACATAAATATTCACGTTCGACTAAACGTTAATGTGACATTACGAGTAAAGTTATATTTAAATGTTACCAACCTTCAATTTCTATTTTAAACAAACATTTTTGTAAGAAACGCAATTGTAACAAAATATGGAAACAATCGTACCAGTCGACTCGATTCGATTCGAGATCGATAGGAAGAGTCGAAATGGGGTTGTAATTCGTGACAATCAGGGATTGAAGAAAAAAATGATTATCTCGATCGATTAGATGGAGATACGATGGAGATAATGACTTGAATAAAAAAATAATAATGACTCACCGATGATGGTCGAGGGGTTGTCCTCGGGAACAGCTGATCCGGCTCGGTTAGCGAATGTCGCTTTCGTTGAAGTTTCCTAATCGTGATCGGTTAACCTCCAAAACTGGCTGCGCAATCTAGTCGGCGGGGCGGGGATGTCTGATCGCATGGAACTCAACGCGGTTTTCTTTTTTCGCGTGTCTCGGATGAGAAACTCAGTTAAAAGTCCTGTCGCCAGTTAAAGAGGCACGTAAAGATCACGAGGACCCTCGGTACCAGCGAAGGGTGGCCGTTGCGTCATATATCGTTGCCAGGCGAACGGGACGTAACCCAATTCGCGGCTGGCAGCTTCTCCTTCGGCTGTCTCTCGTCTCATTCTCTCTTTTCTCGTACTCTCGATTCTCAGAACATTCACTCACAGCCAATTTGACAATATTCCCACGGGACACCGTCTGACTCACTGTAACATCCACCAACTAGTAAACACACCGCGTCGAAAAGTCAGTGGATCATCGAACGACATTGCTCCGCCGATCGGGCGATTGATCTTGTCCGTTTTTATTTTCAAAGAGATCGGCAAAGGCCGATTCTCTCGAGGACACTGCGAAATTCGAGTATTCTATTAATTCTCTGTTGCTATTAACTTTGATGAAACAACCACCGAGCAAAAAGACGCGACAGGAAAGGCTATCGCGAACGCTAGGAACGGTGAAACGGAGAAACGAAGCGCACCCCACACTCGCACCAGTGGAAATGATACTGCGGCTTCGCGAGACTCTATTCTCTACGTACTGTACATAAGCGCCAACGCGCAGGCGCAGAATGATCGTGCCAGTCAACTTCCGAAATCTCGTTAAATCTCGCTAATTATACATTTTTATATCAAAATTTGTTAATTCAGAAAGTTAATTATTTTTTTTTTTTATTAATTTTTTATTATTAAATATATTTTTCAGAAAAATTATTGACAAATTTTTATTATTTTTATTATTTACTTTTTGCATCTTTAATGCGTTGGTTTATGACATTTTGTACAACTGTTAGTTTAACGTTAATTTGAACAAATATCGCATCTATAATTAAATTTTTGAATATACTTCCATAAACAAAACTTGTTTACCTTGTATTAGGCAGGGTTTAAAATATTACTAGATATCTCTATGATTTACAATACTTCAAATATTAAAGGTTTACTTTTATTCTCTTCAAATATAAAAGTTAAGTAACGTGATTGTAAAGACAAACATCACGTTTTCGTTATACAATACATTATTATATTAAAATATAAATGCCAACTCTTTAACAACTACATGTTAATGTAGTATTATAATATATATATATTACATTTTTATGTTTTGTCGATTTTACGGTGATTGTAACTCGTACCACGATATAGATCAAATTAGTCTGAACAGTTTTAAATAAATATTATAAATGTTTACATGATTTGGGACTTACATAAGGCAGTTTTTCAAAAAATAATATAAATTCTACGCTTTCAGTTATTCTCTCATTAATAGAGGATGTATAAAATACAATATTTCAAACTTTACAATTGCAACCATATAAATGCGTGTTACACGCTCAATCACACGAACTCGAAGAACAAGTAACTTGAAATTTATTTACTGTTCATCCTTGTCTTTAGCTCCGTGTTTTAAAATTCGTGTAAATTCTATATAATCGAACATCGATCCTTTGATTGGCGCTTCGCGATACATTTCGTCAACATCGTCGTCCGTGAATCTTGAAATAAAAAAGTAACAATGAGCTAAATATTTCTATGACAATTAACAATATACAGGGTGTTCGATTAGGGGTGGACTTTGGGAAGGTGGTAACTGGAGTGATTCTGAACAATTTTCTCCTTTACCAAAATGCTCGTTAACGCTTAGTTTTTGAATTATTAATAAAAAACACACGAGCAACAAAGGTACATACCGCGCAGGCGCAGCCCCGGGTAGTGTCGGCTACGAACCAATGTGCCGAGTAGTTTGTTCGCGGTCTCGGTCGAGTGCGGTTCTCGCAGCCAATAGTTCCGTATTTTTCATTAATAATTCAAAAACTAAGCCTTAATAGGCATTTTGGTAAAGGAAAAAACTGTTCAGAATCAGTTACCACCATTTCAAAGGATGCCCACTTCTAGCTGAACATGCTTGATACTTTTTATAACATCAATTTACCTATCTCCCATTGTGGTAAGTAATTCTCGAAGACGTTCTTCGTTTATATGGCCAGTATTTTCTTCGTCGAAACAACCAAAAGCGTTTTTAATTACATCTTCTGGATCTGTACCCTGAAGCCTTTCGCCAAACAAGGTTAAAAACATTGTAAAATTGATTGGTCCTGGAGCTTCGTTCATCATTCCTTCCAGATAGTCGTCAGTAGGATTTTTACCTAAATGGAATTTCGAAATTTAGCGCTATTTTATATAAAATTGAGTTTACCGTTGAAAGCAATTTTAGAGCTACGTCGGTATGTTACCTAACGAGGCGAGCATGTCATGGAGATCTTCTTTATCAATAAAACCATCATGATTTTGATCGATCATGTTAAAAGCTTCTTTAAATTCAGCGATTTGAGCTTGATCGAACATTGCAAAGACATTTGATGTTGCGCGTTGTGCACGTTTCTTCGTCGTTGCCCGACGTCCAGCCGTTTTGCGTGAAGACATGATTATATTCTGAAATCATAACCATTTTAATTATTTTCAACTTACATGCGATGGAGGCAAAACTTTTTCGGAAGTCTGCAGCAAAACACGAAAGATTAATACACGGTTTACCATTATCGAGTTACTATTTATTTTTGAATAATTAAGTCAGGGAATCGCAACGTAACCAAAATCAGGATAAAAATAAGATCGTCTACGTGGTTGTTCAATAAAGAGGACGTTACACTCCACGTTCACCGATGCCTTTGTTCATCCTTTCGTACAATTAAACCGGGATTTATCATACGATTTAACATAAAAATTGGGAGAATATTTAAACATGCGCTATACTTTGTGAAACACGTATCACCTCGTGCACTGTTAAGTATATACTCTATCTTATGTTTAAAAAATAATTTTTTGGTACGTTTTTAAGTTCATTTCTTACCATTTATTTATTAATGTTTACTTTATGGGTCTTTGTTCTAAAACTTGTGCTCAGCTATATTTGTACATGCATGCTATATTTGACTTTTACTAAGCATTTATTAAAAACATTTAACGCTTTGTAAAATCATTGAAACATACGATTGAATGATTTTATATAAGAAAGAATAAAAAATAAGTTTAATTTAAACAAATCAACGAGAAAAGTATGCTTATCTTTCAATAACAATGGCCGCCTCAGTAAGCAAGAGAACTGCTGTCAAATATTCCACATCGTTCAGACAGTCTCTGATATATTTGAATCAATAATTAAAAGGCATCTCATTGAAAGATTGAGATAAGCAAAGAAATTTTTACCAACCTGATAAATATAAGCTTCCAAATGGCAAAATTACAAGATACAGAACGGCACAGACACTCGTGCACCACTGTGACTCACGTTACGCGTCACTCTATGGTTATTCACCACACCCGGACAGGTAGTGCCATCTGGCGAAGGATCCTTTATCCATTGCAGCAACCTTTTCTAGTCATACTCAAAAATTAGGCCATGAAAGAAAAGAAAGGTATACTTTGTAGCCAGAGATGTCTTTATTATGGGGGGAAGATGAGGCACTTGCCCTGGGTTCTATGCTTATAAACTTTCACATTTTTACTAATAAATAAAAAAATTTTACTTTGTAATTTTATTAGGATAGATTTCTCGGCCTAAATGGTCCATGATGTACAGAATATAAGGTTACTTAACGCGTTTTCTATATTATCAGTACTGTTCCAAATCCCAGAAACTTTAAGGGTGATTCTACTTAGAATAATCGATCCTTAAGTGGTAAATTCATCCATAATTTTTATCAGAAACGGTGTATTTTATGGTATGAAATTATACCAGTTCAATCTCGAAGAGATACGTCATCGTATACGTACCGTAGTTAAACCGGAGCAAGCAGTTCACAGAGAAATCATTGCCTTATAAGGATGTGAAAGAGCCCGATATAGCTGTTGCTTATGTCGTAATCTTGTTTACATTTAAACTCTTTATATACAATTACACGGAGACACAGTTCTGGTACGAATTGAAAAAGGCGGAAAGGAATTGATTTTGTTTACAGAGGAATTTACAAGAAAATTTTGCCACTGTAAAATAAAACAAGAGCATTGGTTTCTTTATTCGCATAATTAACGAGCATACGAATTTATGTTACAAGTAATAATTCTAAATCAGGGAAACACTCTATATACATAATGATACATGAATTCAATTCTCGAATCACTTTGAATGCAAACAAATGGATGTAACAATACACGATTACCATCCGCCAATAAGACGCGTCATCACGCTCCTCCTCTTTACTTATTTACATAAATCGGCGATGCGCCGAATATAATAATATAAATAAAGACAACAAAGTTTCGCGTACTCGTATCCTCCTACCTGTACATAAATAATCTCCGATTTTGAGGGACGGAATCGATCCTCGATAAAATTCAAACTATCGTACAGACACTCCATTAATGGTAATGCCATTTCTGTTTGACACTGGTTCTGCCTCGTAATGTCCCGTTCGACCATAATGTCTTCTCATGTTGCTGCCGTACCTTAAATTTTTCGAAAAAACTTTGTTGCACTTTCCGTTTATTAATTGAAAAAAAAAAAACTTTTATACTTACCCATAAGTACTGCCACTCATACTGTATGGATTGTCATAAAGGCCGTCTTCTGGAACATTTTCGTACATGGTGTTAGGTGTTCCATCGTTAAGAGTGGCGTAAGACATAACAGCAGCATTTTGGTCCTCTTTTCTCTCAGCTGCTTGGACATTTTCAGTGTTCTTCACTGGAGTAGCTTTTCTCCTAAAAATAGCGTTGTTGAACAAATAAATCTTTAGCTTGAGAGCAGTAATTGTTAATAATTTTCTTCTGAGTTTTACATACAGTCTTAGGTAAACGAGTCCAAGTATAATTAATATAAATATGATGACTCCCGCTCCGATGCCAACGCTGGTACCTACTCCTTGAGCTTCTGCTACTTCGTTTGGCATAACTGTTGAACAACGCGTACAAATTAATCTTGGAAAGTGTATCAACTTAGTTTAAACTTGAACATTTATTTACGTTCGCATTTTGGTTCATCGCCACTCCATGAACCAGTGTCTAAGCATTTTCTTAAGAATGGTCCGACTCTTTCGTATTGCGGTAAGCAATGATATTCTGCTGTTCCCCCATAAATCGTTGTTCCATTTACCACTATTACCCTTCCATTTTCTATGGATCCTGGATGTTTACAATCCACCGCTGTTAAAGAAACGTTTCAGTTTTATTCGCGTCTGTAAAATTACTTAAAGATGAACCATATGATAATATATTTACAGAAACAGGCAGGCGTGCTTCCGCTCCAAGATCCATTTTGCAAGCATATTCTAGTCTCGTTTCCTTCCATGTAGTATCCACGTGGACAGCTATAGTGTGCCACTCCTCCCACGCTATGAGTGGAAACTTGAGTAGACAATACCCCTTCTTTCTCAGGATCTTTGCATCTAATTTCTGAATGTTAACAAGAAATTAGATGTTTCGCTTTCTTAAGATAAGATTTCATATTATAATTATGTTTGAGAAAGTTACCTTTACAAACTGGAGTGTCGCTGCTCCAGGTGCCATTCTCGAGGCACAGTCTTCTGGCGAATCCATCCAATTCAAAGTTCCCGTCGCATTCATAAAGCGCAGCTGCTCCGTAATAGGTTGCATTTGAAGTTAGGGTGTATTTTCCATGTTGAATGTGCTCTGGCTTGGCACAATCGACATCTGAAAAATGCATTCTAATGTGTTTACACATGTTTTAAAAATGGAAAAGTGTTTTATTGAATAGATCAATTTTACAATGATTCTTACAAACGCATCGCGGAACTTCGCCACTCCATTTTCCATTGTCCTCGCAAGTAGAGAGAGGTTCACCAACCACCTTGTACCCCCTCTCGCAACGATATTTCGCAAGAGCACCAATCTTGTAGGAAGTCGCACCGGTATTAGAATTCTCCGGTGTTCCGGTACGAATCAAAGTTCTACCGTACATTCGATCGTTCCCAGTCACCGATAGAATCCCATGCTCTGCGTATACGGGCTCAGGACAACGAATCTCTGTGACAAAAGCGTTATATCGATGCTGGCAGCTATTGTCGTGTAGCTGTGAAATAAATTCTATGTACGAGTTTCATACGCCCGAATACCTTCACACTTTGGAGTCGCGTCGCTCCATTGACCATTGTCTAAACAGTATCTCCTCGACACTCCGTTCAACCTGTAGTTTCTCGTGCAACTGTAGGTGATTTCACTTCCTAGATGCGTCGTTTTATTCACGTAATCCGCTGCTCCATTCAACACAGGCAACACTTTCCCGCAGTCCACGTCTATGAAACAGAACGTTACCTTCTTTTTCTTATGAATAAAAATTAATAAGAAAACTTGTGCATACATTCGCAGGTAGGTACTTCCCCCGACCACTCGCCGTCTCTGCCACAAGTGTGTCTGGCTTCGCCTTGAAGTTGATAGCCTGCCTCGCAGTGATATTCAATGGAGCTGTGAACGTTCAGATCGTAGCCGACCACGTAACTTCCGGCTGGTACATCTGGTTCTTCGCAGGTAATTACTATAAAATGGAAAGTCGAATATTTTTCTCTATTCGTTAACCTAAAGTTACTATATTAATCCTGCTTACACTCGCACGACGGTGTGTCGTGGCTCCATTTCCCTTCTTTGGTGCACTCTTGCTTCGCCGTACCCACTAACCAGTAGTCCTCCAAACATGTGTACACCGCCAAACTTTTCACCGTGGTGGTTCCATTGATTAAGGTCATCGAACCAAATTCGATTTGGGCCGGTGCTCCACAATCGACGAATCGACATTGAGGCGCTTTGCCGGACCATTCTCCGCCGATGTCGCACGTAAGAACCTTTCGAAATTGAATCAGTCGGGTTGAAGATATTTAATATTCCGTTCATGGTGATTGCGCAAACTTTTTCAGACTTATTTATAAATAATACAGACACAATCGACGGGACGGACAAACGTAATGGAATTTACTCTCGAAATCGGTTTACGCCTCGAGCATAACAAACGAGAGAAAAGATTTACCGAGCGTAAGGAGAATTGTTTATGAAATTACTTACGTTATCTCCGAATAGAATAAAGCCGTTCTGACAAGAATAAGTGGCAGTAGATCCTGCTCTCCTTCCGGTAATCGTTACCAGCCCTCCGTTGACTTGAGGTGGTTCCGGGCACCAATCGACTGGATAATAATAAACAGCACATTGTATTATCAACGCGTTTGAGAACGAATGTAGAACGATGCATGATCTAGATCACATTATTAGATTGATTCCGTACATAGACATTGGGGTTGATGTCCACTCCAAATACCGCCGTCACCGCATCGACGCCTAGCGTCACCCAGAAGCGTATAGTTTTCTTTACACGCGTAATCGGCAAGCGCACCATGGGTCGTTCTTTTGTCAACGAGCGTGATTGCACCGTTCTCCAGCTCGGCTAGTGGACCGCAATCGACGACTGAAAGCATTTAAAACGCGACGTTTAGGATACGCGAAACGATTACAAACGAGCAGCTCTGCGTTATCGTTATCTTGATAATTATGTGACTCGCGTGCGATTGTGCTTACATTTGCACGTGGGCGCTTCGCCGCTCCAAAAGCCGTTTAGCTCGCACGTTCTGTTCTTCGATCCAATTAACATGTGTCCGTCAGGACAAACGTACTCTACTGTGGAACCAATGGTTCTTTTGCTTCCAATTATGGTTGTGTTCTCAGACTTCTCTGGACTGCCGCAAGTAGGTGGTCCTAGAAAAGTAAAGGAACACGTTAGAAAGGTAACGATTGCTTTCGTTCGTTACGCGCCGCAAGTGAATAAACGTCTGCTCACTACTCTGACATATCCAGTGTAAATAATCAAGATTACAGCCGACATCGTTCCAAAGCCAACCGCGTCCACCGTCCAACACTACGCAATTCTGTTCGCCGTTATAGTTATTCGGTTGATCCTTGCCCCACGATGGTTTTTGCACGATCTCTCCTAAAAACCAATAGACAAAACTCCGTTTCACATCTGGAATTCTAATGAAAGCTAATCGACAGAGATTACAAGGTCTTTAACCTTTCGCCACGAATCCTACAATCTAAGATAATCTTCTCGTCTGCTCGATCCAGACGCAACAAACAATTAACAGAGATTATACGTTCGAACACAGACGTTAGCGGGTGTAACTTCCCGTTGATTTCCTCATAGTCGTAACTTTCACGTTCTATTTATTAGCGCGTGCCGTTGCGCCGACAGTCAACCGTGTCGAGTCGATCTTTGACTTCATAGGCTTCGATGACCAGCTTGCGTACGAATCACCGAACGATGCTTCGTATCGTTAAGTACCGTAATTATCGCATAATTACGGGGCAAATCGATCGGCTCGACTCGACGAAATTCAAGCAACGTTACCCAACCGGTGCCACTTCGACCCGGTTCCCATGAATGCTACCGATAAATCGTGAGAAGAGAAAAAGTCTTTTGGTTGTAGTCGACGAATGAAAGAACAGGAGAGATGAAACATCTCGAGATATTCACCGTCAACCCATCTCCAGGTTCGTGCCGTTATCAACGGCTCCTTTTGAGCACCTATCCAGACCAGCTGCGTCTTCAATTTATCCTTTCGCCTTTCGAGATTATTCAGTATGTACACCGACGATGCACCCTGCGTTTAAACACAGACAAGAATTTACAGTAAAGTAAAGGAAACAGTTGGAATACGTTCGGCAGAGAATTCGAAACTGTTTGTTAGAGAAACCTTGAAACCGTGCACGAGATCTCCGCCTCTGGTCCGACAATAGTTTCTGGCTTCCTGAAAGGAACCACCTTTCTTTACGACAAACTCGTAACAGGTGGAATTGAAAGCGGCCAGGTCCGCGTCAGCCGGCGTTCCGGCGTAGGCACACCTGTCCGTTGAGAACTCTACGAAAAACCAGGTAGAACGTTCCTAAAGGAATTTTACTTGACATTTCGCTGCCATCGTTGATTCAACCTCGTCAGTTTTCTGCTTACCATCGACGGCGAACACTTCCACCTCGCACAAACTCAAACTTCCTTCGACCCCGACCAGCTGTAAGAACACGTACTGTCCGATCAGTGCTCTGGCGCATTGAAACGTCTTCGTGATTCCTTCCTCTGTAAAAATCAGTCGATCATTCGAACGGGCTCTTCGTAATGTCGCAACGAGATTTCACATTTTCATAGACTCTCGATCGCTTACCTATCGTGCCAGGAAACCAGGCGCACAAAGGGTTACGCTGCAATTCCACGCTACTGTTGCCAACGCGAATTTCAATGTCCTGAAGGGGTTGATGACCTATCAAGAACGAGAGCTCTTTTCTAATTTTTCTTTCGACACCGTTCGATCTAGCAAAAGCGCTAAGCGAATACAGCAAATGTACATTTCTCTGTTGAGAGTTTTTCAATGATCGACGTAACGGACAATTATAGGAATAACGTAGCAGAGACTCTGATAAATATCTCAGAAGTTTTTAAGATTTTTTCGATTGCCTAAAAGAATGGCGCCAGTCACCTGGTTGAAGGATAAACATGCAAGAAGTAAAAGAGAAAAAATTTACCGCAGCAGCCTCTGGTCGTGACTCTGACGACTTTTACCGAATACGACTTCAGAAGGTCGACCTTCCACCAAGGACTGGGCTCGCTTTGGGTTTCTGTACATCTTTTCCCGTCGTGTTCCGTGCTGGAGTCGCCATCGTTACCGTGGCCAGCATCTCCTCCTCGTACAGTCGTCGACTGATTCGTTGGTTTGCGAAAAGCAACATTCGTGCCTGTGACGATACAACGGTATGATATTTAAATGACTTTCCATTAATCATCGGTATTTACCGTGTTGAATATTTTCCAACAATTATTTCGGTACCGATCAGTCAAAGAAGAAAGGTGTCGCCCGTTACGAGCAAGTAACAAAACGTTCATTAACGGCAGGATACGCTGATCGTTAGTGTAATAGAGAGAAACGATTATCCGGTGTCGCAGCTAGTTTCACCAAGTCCTACGTACTTTGCGTTTCAGAATCTTCCGGCTTGGTCGTTTTTTCCGCATTCTCGGTGGCCTGGTCGTTTAAAATCATTTCCACGCGAACCAGTCACCGCCTTTGTGCCTGACTGTCACCGAACGGATCCTCGGTTTCGTAACGTTCAACCTGCCGTACGATGTTTTGCCATTCGCGAACTTTCTTTCGTACCGATTTTGTGAGTAAAAGTGAAACGTAGCAGCAAACGAAAAGAAAGGAGAGAAGAGCAAAGGTCGTCGACGCACAAAATTTCGATAGAGTTGCTTCGTGGCATACGAAAAATCGCTTTCTATCGTATTACACGTTCGAGACGGAAAAGCAACACGGCGCTGCATTTTAAGAAGAAAGAGTTCAATTTCTTCTTGATCGCGGAGCGCAACTATTCTTTCGCGAAGAGAAAGCCGCGTACGATCTTGTCTTTTTCTCGAACGCGTGATCGCACGCGTCGATTCGATGGATATACAAAAATTAATTTAATGATAAAAAAAGAAAGGGAAACGCTTACCGCAAAATGGTAGATCTCCTTGCCACTTTCCTCGAGCGTTACACGTCAGACTGCCACTGCTAAACAACCAACAATTGGATCAAATAATCGAAATTCTTTGAACCTCCTTCTGTACAATGGACGACGTTCAACGTTGACATGCAAGGACATATTGTCAACCATACAAATTACATGAAAACGGAGAAAGTCTATAATAAGTGGTGCTATCGACATAGATTATGCTGTACAGATGTTCGTTTCGTTCGGTTGCAATTTCTACCTGTACATATCTGCATATCGTAAATATTGTATTCGTAGAATGCACATTACATTTATTGTAATGGTACTATTAACTAAAGTTATTCCCCATAAAACAAATAACAAATCATTTGATGGAAATTCATACGTCACTCAGGATATGGTTGACATTGACGGTCGTATTTGCAAAGCGTTGATTATACATACATACCCAAATAATTCGTATCCGGCGTCGCAGGTGTACGTCGCCAAAGTGCCAATTGCTAATGACTCGTCGGACAATGACACCTTGGCGTTCATCGGTACCGCTGGATGACCGCACTTCAATCCTGTATTTAAACAAAAATTACGGTTTTTAGTCAAGACAAGTCGAAAGACAAGTCAGCTTACCATGGAATTAAATAAATTTATTAACCACTAAACCGCTCGATCTAGCGGCGCTTTTAATGGTGTATTAAAAGGCTGCTGGAAATTTTACCGTTTCAAACTACCAAAGCTACCGTTTCGATTTCTAGCCTACGATTCACGGTACACTGCGCGTTCTCCAGAGAAAAACTTTGCTTTTTATTGCATCTCAGATTATACTGTAAAAGCAGCGACTGCCAGGTATTAACGAATTAGTAATGGTTTCGAGTCGTTTCAAACATGATATTGTTCGAAAAATGTTTCAAGGATTGAGCTGTTCGCAATAATCATTTTGCAGGAAATTTTTTTCCGTCCCATTGACAAGGTATTTTTATCGCTTCTACGGTATTCATGATTGAAACACCAAGCACGGTTACGGTGTCAGCAATTAACTGTATGTAGCAAGAGTCGTGTAACAGTCTAAATTTGAACCGTAGTCTTGTACACTTTCAATTCAAACCCAAACATAATATGGACACAAGTAAATGCTTGATTCCGAGACAATTAACGCTATTTTTCTTTTCTCATTCAATTCATCTTAACTTTCGTTGCGTAAGGTATACCTGTCGTTAACCAGAGAGGAGGTGTCAAGGGCGCAGCCCCTTTCCGCGTAACGCTCGAGTTTAGAAGGCATTCGTCCATAGTTCGCTTTCAAAGTAAGTAAATCAAACAATGGTTAACGACACGAGCTAAAGAGAAACCTTGGACAAAATCCCACGCGTCTTTCATTATTGTATAAATTCTTACTGTCGGGAAATTGAACGTACGATGGATTTTCTCAGTCGTCCGCAAAAGGATGGAAATTAGTAGGTCGAATACAGGATAGCCGTAAACCTATCGAGTTATGTACGTTTCTGAAAGAGACAAGATCGTGCACGTCGCTTGAGGAAACTTTTCTTTTTCCTTCGAGTGAAAAGCACGGTGGTTTAGAGGACTGCATCTCGTTGCAACCGCAAGGAAATGTTTTCTTCTCTCTGAAACACCCTGTATATTCTATAAACACATAAGCAATAGAATCGTGAAAGCGATTTGATAGCATGCAGTCGCGCAGCTTGTAAAATGGGAAGTTTCCGCCAATGTTTCAAGGCTGATCGAGAGAGATGGCCTTTGATTTCCAATCAACAATCTTAATGATTCAAATTTACATTTCCACACAGTTAGCCGTGATTGGTTCTTCTGAATAGGATGCCCGCGAGAATCCGTTAATTTGAATCCGAATGCGAAAGTCAGGTGAACGATTCGATCGCAGGGTGAAAGCTTCCTTTTTATTTCTTTTTATTCGATTCGAACTCTCGGGAAGGCAACCGTTTCTCATGAGACATATCGGAGCTACCGTTTCGTGCGAACGAGTTAATTAAAGCGAATACAAACGTGTTTGCGCGTACAACCGCTTGCGATTATTCCGATTCGAAACGCGTCTCCTTGTAACGCGTTGAATCGAGTCTTTCGCGGCTCACTTTCTATATAATTAAAATCATTTCACCGGGTACTCGAAGATAAATCTTCTTAATTAGAAAGAAATGCTGTCTGAGAACAAAGGTCATCAAGTTCTTAACTTGACTTTTGTATTTTACGATCATAGTAGTTCACACTAGCAATTACAAAGGAATTGATTAACTTTATGTTGATGATTGGAAATTGATCAGAGCTTTGTTCATTTAGATCGAGTATAATTAAATTTGTTGAAGCTCTGCTACGGATGGTTAGACAGGTTCTAGGAAAGAACCTCGTCGAATCCAGATCTGAGAAGAGACGAAGAGGTCAAGAATTCCCGGTTGATGGTCTGTGTTGAGTACGTGTAAGCACGTTACTAGCTTCAACCTGAAGTCTTTGGCATTCGCCGATCGCTTCGTGGGTCTGGGTCACGCGGTTACAAAACTTTGAAGCCGAAATAACGGTACGACATGGAGCTACTTCGGATCGGAACTACTCTACCAGTGAAGCGTGTCACGGTACAGTTCTTGGTTTATAGCCATTTTTCTCTATCTTCGATTCCAAAGCAACCTGCACCATTCCTAATCAACATTCCTTCAATCCAATTTGCTTAGAACAAGTATCAATACTTAATAAAAATATATCGCAATTGCTTTTTCTATCAAAAACTTTCCCAAATATCACTATCACGTGGCGTTAGAAGGAGCGTCGAAGATAGAATAACTCATTTCACGCGAACCTTTTGCAATAATCGTGTCGATGTGCATGGACTGGGGGGAGGTAGAAATACAGACAGGTTCTAGCTGCACACCTCGAGCGCACCGGTGCAATATTGCAGGTACAAAAGCGATTGTCAGGAAGTTGGAAAGTGGGCGTGCCTATTTGCGATCTATCTTGCAAAAAAAAAAAAAGAAAGAAAGGGAGAACCATTGTTAGAGATATACTCGACTAATTTTTCAACATCTTTCTGATTGAATTTCAATTTCAATTCCATATCGAGAGGGAATTTAACAACCGCCTGGTGTGTACCAAACCATCAAGGAACCGGTTAACATCGTCATTTGGTAGGACGAAGAAGAATCCGTGGAAGTAACAGACGGTGAGCTGGCAATACTAAATTCGTGCTACTTGAAATTGACCGGAAATCGGTTTTTCTTTCCATCAAAGAAAGAACGATGTTTCCTAATCTATTCTTCGACACGAAAAATTCTTGCGAGCAAAATTTGATCAGAGCTGATGGTGTTGTATAATCGATGTGTAGCATCGAATTGCGTTACACTACCAAAATGCGCTCGACGCGTCCCGCATGTTGATTAAGAACCATAGGAAGCGGCGTGGTGTCGCTTGAAATTTCACCTGTATCGGGTATGCTGCCCCACCCATCGATGGGGTGGGTTTATCCGGGCATGGGTTATCGCTCGATTCAAAGGCTAGCTAAATCGTTCAGAGTTAAATGTTACGACGCTCTCAGCTATTAACTCGACGGGGAAACCGTGGATGAAAACGTGCAAGTTTGAAGCGTGCCCCGCTGCCTATTTAGCGAGACTGAAAGAAAAGCGTTTACCTGGAATCTCGAGAACGCTTTTACTTCCCCACGTACGGCTGGTTTACGAATTAGCATACCACGAAGAAAAATCTTTGGTGTTAAGACTACGATGTTCCTCGAGCTTTTGCCGTGAATAAGTATCGAAAGGATTCGAAATTCTACGGTGATCGAATTGCTTGAAAATTTGCAATAGATAGTATCGAATGTCTATCACCACCTACGAGTCCCTGGAATGGGATCGGTCAGAGGCGTGTGAACTGGACTTTCCTACACGTATTTACCTTAACTTCTACCTATCACTTTTACAGAACGCTCTGTTTATGCGGTAATCATGGGAACAGCGATTGCTTCGATCATTGTAGTTTATCTCGTTCCATTCAAATTATCACGTTTTAACTTTGATACTTGTAACACGATTCATAAATTCATTGAAACATTCTTCAACTCTAGGCACGCGAATAAGATATATCGAGACGACAAATTTACATTCTTCCTTTAATTACAAATCTTTGCAAACTTAGCATTCGCGTGCGTTTAATAAGCAGCATCGGGCAAGGTGTTATTTTCAAATAGCAATTATCCTTATACCGAGACGTGTCCTTCCTACGCGTTTTTATCTGCTATAAATGAAAGTTCAAGCGAGCGTTACTGAAAAGGTATAGGTACCAACGGTTTGCGGGTCGATGACGTAAAATACACCGCATTACATTTAATAAATCTTTGTTCGTGTACAAACTCAAGTTGAATGTATCTCCTGACGCGTCAAAGAAGCGAAAGAACAGAAATAAACAGTTTGTTTAGAAAGTATGCGTTATAGGTCCACGTGGTTCTAATGAAGATAATGCTATATTATGGAGTGTCTTTCAAAAATTATCACGAAAGCTGATATTACAGAGCCGTTATTATACGTGTACAGAAACATAATGGCTATACTGCCAAGGTGTTTCATGTAGGTCAACTAGGAGAATAAGAGTTACAAAAGGCAAAACTCGCTTCGATTGACTGCCTTTGCTGCGAGTTCTCCTTCCTACGTTGCGAGACCAGTTTTATTCGAATTAAAACCGGCAAAATGACGAGTCAACTGGGGGAGAAACGCGAAATTCGAAGCTGAGAATCAGCCAAATCGGTCTGTATGATAGGTAAAGTGTCTTGTATATAGATACGCAAGTACGTGCGTGGATTACCGATGATTAACGGCGTCTATGTACGGCACAACTTTCATTAGAAAATATTTTTGTAAAATGAAAACATTATAAATCAGTTTTCTGTAATTAACGTGTTATGCACTGCTCGTGAATCAGATAGTGCGTATCTACTATTGCTTTGTTACTCAATAATAAATGTAATAATATTTGGTATTTGGTCTAAATTGCAGCATGCAGAGGTCGCCCATCGTGCGTAACGAAAGGGTTAAATTTCATGCGACGCGGAACACGTTAAGCAGGAAGAGCGAATGCAAATGCACCCTGTTTCCGGACTCGCACGGTCAGTGGATACTTTTAAATGGTCCGCTGAATTTTACAATCGTCCACGTTATTTGAACGAACAGTTTGAAAGGGCGTCGGAACGTTGTTTCGATTACTGACCATCCTTGGATCAATGAATAACTACCGTATAGGGTGAGATATTTCGTCGAAAAAATTTAATGGAATTCTTATGGTTCCATGGAAACAAAACGAAAAGGCGATCAAGAACTTGTGCGTTTTATTTCGAAGGAGATACACCAGGTGACCTCGAGACACCAGAAAATCCGCGTGGACGAGAATCGAGTGGGCGGTACCTGTTTTCTGCGGTATTTGTGTATCCTTTCTTTACCGTCATGGGCAAAACAGATAAAAAATGTCAAAGCGTCGACTTCGATTTGAAATTTCGAAATATTTAAATCTCGTCTCTGTCCTTTCTATCGACGCCGTGGTTCAATGGACTCTCGGTTCGCAGAATTTCACGCGACTTTAATTCATTCGATTCGTGGTTAACACGTTGACTGCCATTATGAAAATGGTGATATGCATTGCGACACGTTATAATAGCAATTGCTACAGATACGATTATTTAGTTTCTTGCTACAAGATTTCGTTATTAATCGATTGAAAGTTTGGGGTAGCTCACCCTTGTGGCATTCAACGTATTAAACAGGTGATAATATAATTATGTAGTTTAAAAGTACATGCCTTCTGCGCCCACAACGAGGATCCCCAAAAGGGATAGGAGAATCTCTCGCGTCATCCTCGATATATCGTTCCTCTGCCCTCGACGAAAGGCGGGATCACATCGAAAGCGCAGCAACTTTGCTCGCGATCATCCACAAGCACGTATCCGCTACCGGTGAACACTTTACCGACCACCACAGAAACTTTCACGAGAAGTTTCTTTGTTCGACGTGTGCCACCGTTGAAAATTTGTTTCAACTGTAAAATATACCTATTCTTCTTAAACTCAATTAAAATAGAAAAGAGGAAACTAAACAAGTTTCAAGTCACTTTAAAAAACAAGTGTTCTAGGGGCGTCTTCTTGTTCGATCGACAAGTTTTTGGTCACCGTACGTAGACACGATCGTTCTCTCGTCATTTCGTTCTTGCACTATGCGAAATTATACTCGCGATATTCCATCTTCGATTTACGATTCTTCATAGTTTTAAGCGTCGATGTCGTATCTCTCGTTGCCCATACGGGGAGGCGCGAAAAGGTTTCTCCAACTGTTGACAGAGAATTATTACTAAAGTCACTATAATTGGAACTGGTTCGCGAGAAATTTGAATTTGTCTTTTATGGAAGGCGGATTTAAACGCGACTTTTCGACGGCATTTTCGCTGACCGAGTATGACGATCCGTTCCCTTCACTAGCCGTCCGTCGAGTGCCACCAGGCCTCTTGGCTCTCTTCAACTCTCCTTCGACATTATGAAAGTACGGTGTACCGTGCTGCATGTACCGTGCATCCAGCTGGCTACCATGAGGGAACCTATGCCTTGCTACGTTCTTCTCGACTTTTCGCCATGCTATCGACATCAACAGGTACATCTTATACTACTGCCTTATTCTCCTTTCCTAGAAATATCATTGATCATTTCTATAGACATTCAATTGCTATTATCTTCTTCGGAAATCAAATATTCGACCCCATTGCGATTTTGCTCCGATTCTGTCGATCGCGTTCCGGGATCGAGATTATTTACCTGTCCACGAATGCGACGCGTTTTTACCGCAACATGGATACTCGTACGCGTAACGTGTCCAAGGTAAAAGAACCAGCATACGATCAAGTAACAACTTTTACCTGCACACGGTTACAGAAGTTGCACATTAGCGGAATAGTTTCGCAGGAGAAGCGACCGATTTAGAAAGAGCAATCGCTTCCGTGTCCGTAACTGTCCTGTTTCGACCAAACGCGTCGAAATCGATACCAGATTGTAAAGCAACATTCTTAAGTACCTACCATTTTAACTAGGAATCAGTGATTCTGTGTTCTTAAACTGTCGCGTACACCTGCGCATCAGCCCCTCCAATTTTAAAAATGACCGCGTGTCGAAGGCGCATTTTCCTTCTCATTAAAATCCTTGACTGAATTGCCGTGCCGCCCCGTTTACCTTGACAGATACATGAATTATAATTTGCTCCATGATCCAAAACCGCACGAGTTGTTTTTTCCTGTTCCCCTTCGTTTCTCATTCCTTTCTTTCTTTTTTATTTTTTTGAATATTGTTTTAATACCTTGGAATTACTGCAAATAATAGATTCATATCAGATGTTGCTAATACTGTCGGTGTTTTTCTGTTTTTTGAATATTTGATAGAAAATAAAAGGAAAATTTAAAGCAAGCATTATCTAAGATGGATGGGATTTAATTTTCTGAGCCTAAATCTACGGTGGTAGTATTCCCTACGCATGAAGGATCACCCTATTGTATGGGGTATCCAAATAGGGTGACAGTAAGAAAAAAAAGGATTGAAAAACACTGTTATAAGGTTACACCGACTTTACCGTTAAGCCCCACCTTTCTGTCTTTCTTACCACATCACACTCCCCACCTGAGTCACGATGCGACGTCCCTTGCGCGCGATCGCGTTTCTACTCTGCTCGGTTTCTCTCCTTCCAACCTTTCTCGTTTCTCCTTTTCCATCGCGCTATTCTATTCCTCTCTTTCGCTCTTTTTCTCTACCAACGCTCACTAAGGTGCTCGCGGGCCCCTTTCACCTCGCAGAACCTCGTGTCTTCTCTTGATTTCCTAAAGAAACGAAGAAAGACACGATAATTCGACCGAGCAACAGGAAGATGAGCAATTTCGTTTGAGATTTGGACGATTAAATTAGCATTAACATTCGTTCGTACGATTTTTATAATGATTCGATAAATGGTGATTTTAACGTACCTTTCAGTCGATGCAGTTAATGGACTTTTGTTTTAATGCTCGTATAATTTTTTTGCGATTAAAAATCAAAAGTCGTATGATGCAAGTTAACAGAATTATAGTTTCAAACTGCAACGTAATGTGTTCCTATCTTACCGCTACGTCTATGAAAATTAGAAATATTTCCTTATTTGGTAATACGATCTAGCAACAACAAAATCAATTATTAATCTCTATTTACGTATAGAAAGTTGACCTAAAGTCATAGTGGTATTCGTTCGAGCCAAGTTGGGCCAAGTTTGGTCTAAAATAGTGGTGCACAAAAGTTTCTCCACTTTCTTAATATCACAATCAATGTTGCAATAGAATTTTACCATTCAGTGCCATTTAAATATTTACCTTGTGCAAGTTATTCTTAACTTTATGGGTCTGTATAATAGCTTACGATCTAAAAACAAATTATACGTCTGTTTAAGATAACAATTTATATTTGCAGGAACTGGTAAATTACTAAATCGTACCTACACGAATGTGTATTGGAAAAATATCTAATAAAATGATAATTATGAATAAAACATGGTATAAATATCTGAAGCTGGTCGGTCCATTTGGAAACTCGAGGCATAAGTTGCGCGTCACTGAGTTCACTGGGTTCGAGATTCGACTTCTCAAATAGAGTACCAGTGACGGCATCTGGTGAAGATATTCTGTATTAAATGTCCTGTGAAAGACACAACTACAGATGTACCGTGATGTACGTAACCGCGTACACGGGATTCGTTTCGGTTTTTGCATCGTTGAATTGGAGTGGTGAGGTATGCACGAGGCGGTTGCGATGGTGCCGGTAACTGTGCTTCGCCGCCAACGCGAAATCTGTGATTTTCATTACATATACTAATTTAATACTGAGAGTAAATACATCGAATAACAAGGAAACATGTAAGTGATGAATTTCCGATACTTTATGTTAAGAAATTTATTGTTTCGAATCATCAAGATTTCAGTTATATTAATAAAGCAATTGTAAAACGTTATCTTAGTTTTATGTGTTATTATATTACCTTGTTAACAAACTAATTAATTTTCCTTCCCTTACTGTTTAAAATTTATGTACATCTGTTCCTAGAACATTATTAATGTTGCTCAATTACATGCGATAGGTGACTAAACTCCTTGCAAAAACCAAGACTTACAAAAGAATGTAAATATGGCAGAAGGTGGAACAGAACCAAAGTCCAATGACAATCAAGTATCTAAACATCAGTTAGAAGTAAACGAGTGTCTTGGTAATTGGCTAGTGTACTTACAGGTTTGTGTATTTACAATAAATTTCATATATAGAAATGCAAAAATAAAACAAGATTTTTCATACAGATGCTCAATGGCCTATGCACTGCCGGTACAAAGTTGGCTCAATCATTGCAAACACTTTTGTCTGTTCACGATACAGTGGCTCAATGCCGATTAACTGGACAATGTCTTGCTGGATGGGAAGAGCTCACAAGAGCTACATACATAGCCAGTAATACCGTAAGAAATCATATTATTGCTGCATTAAGAGATCATGAAACTCGAGAAAGTGAAGCAGATAAACATGTAATTATTTCAAATTAGTCTTTACAACCAGAAAATCTTCTCTTTTATTAAACTGCATTATTTTTCTAGGACATACTTAGGGATAATTTGTTAACTTTCATAAACTTGCAATATCAGTTTTGCGTTGCTTGCTGTGAATGTCTAGGTAAGAATTTTTTTGTAATTAATCCATCAATTCTTTATTCATGCTTTTTGAAATGATTCTTTCAGGTGGAATGGCAGAATGCTCTTGTTCTCAAAGCGGCGCAGCTGAATGTGACATTGCTTCTCTACAACAATGTTTTGAAAGACTGTATAGTTCACCATTACCAGTGTCTTCGTCGTCGACACAGCAGTCTGTGCAAAATTGTCATAGATCACCTTTACCATATCCATTGTTTCCTCTGCAGGTAACTTTGTTGTTGTAAATTAATTTCTTCTATGATTATTTATAATTTTCTACAAAGGTTCAGAGGAGATGGTCTGAAACGGCAGCCGCAGAAATGTCCGGTGAAGTCTCGGAAAATCCGATAAGAAGGTGGTCTATGCCATGGGATTGCCGAAATATCACAGACTGGCCACGACAAGATGTTAGATCTCGATTAAGGGTTCCTCATCAAGACAGAAGTAGATCAACCACGCCTGATACAATATGGAAGACATCCACCATGGCTAGTCAGGATGGCTTACAAGAGGCAATTCAATTGTTATCTTGCAAACCAGGTATACACAGAGAAACGATTAAATGTCATTTGTTGTTATCATTTATTACAAGAATAATTGTTATATATATATATATATATATATATATTAAATTTATTACATATCAAATTATTTTAACATTTTCGTAGGAGTTAGGCCTTTAAATCAATTAACCGCTTACACTAATCAACATATACCTGGTGTCACTTTAACAACGTGCAATTTCGAGACAAATTATGATTCAACAATCTGGCCAGGGTCTCGGAAAGTAGGTTCATCGAGATGTTGGCCGCACGATTCTCACTCAAGCGATCATTCTGATCAATCGGGACGGCGCGAAAGCGATCAGAGTGCACACAGTGGAGAACACAGAGATTCGGGTACAATTTGATACGCATTAAAATTTATTTATCCGCTTTATCTTCAATAATTTATTTCTTTTAACACTGCATAGAACAAAGTGGAGCCAGTGGTAGCCACGGAGACAGTAAAGATAGTATTCATTCTCATAGCGACCATAGGGAAGTCGAACCCGGTAAGTATGTACTGTGCACCGATGACAAGATGTCCCATGAGAAGCACGCATTTGCATTTGTCTCATGGGACATCTTGTCATCGGTGCACTATACGTTATCGATAACCGGCAGATAAAAGCGCATGTAATTTTCTATTTTTCCCATTAGGTACTGTAGACGTATTACCGTCCCGTAAAAGCAGCTCTTCAACAGACTCTTGCATATCAGCTCATAGTCGTTCAGGTTCTGAGAGCGCCGGTGGTGGGGTAATGCACATTTACGACATAAAATTATCATCAGTTATTGTTTCTATATATTAATCATACGCGGGATCAACGTTAATATTTTCAGGAATGCGCGAGGTCTCAGTTATACTCGATGTGGAGTGGCAGCGATTTGCCGTTCATTAAATTGCCAGAAAGCAATGAAACGCAAGACGAACATCCGCCCGTGTAAACACTCGACATTGGTAAATGAATTTTATGCTTTTTTTTTTCGAACGCTATCGTTGATTTATAAGAACGATCAAAATCGTTCTGACCATTATTATATTATAAGCGTGATTCAGTAATGCGCGTTAATAGTGCGTGAATAATGAATTAATGTACGTGATCGTTGAAAAAATACGCGTGAAACGCGACATCTGATCAATATAACAAACGTAGAGTTGAATGAGTGTGTTTATATTATCGCGCGACACATCGGTACATAATCATTCGAAGGATGAAACATATTAGCTAAAAAGTTATTTATACAGATTTTTAATTATTTCCGCTAATTTATTCACGAATGATTATTTAATATCGATCCCCGTTTCCCCTCTCTAGTCTATCGATTTTATATCTGGGGAGAGTTGTTACTTTTTTGGAATTTCGTTATCGAGTTCCACTCTTCGGTCGATATCGTGAAGCTTTAATCGAATCTTCAGTTTTAAGTATCACTATAATACTAATATTGTTAATTTGTATTATATTTAAATGCATGAATTAGAAATTATACACTGGAATATTTTCTTTTTTCTTTTTTTTTTTTCGTGTTCGATTCTTTGCATTGTCTCGATAATATCGTGCATTGGCATATCCAAGCGCAGTATTAAATCATATCATAAAAATTATATTTTCTCCGACTTGATTATTTCACACTCGATACCGTGTCTGTACGCCATCGATGGGTGTTAACCATTTGCGATCCGTTCTGTGCAATTTATTTTGAAGCAATTCACCAAATATCGCAACGAACATTTTAAATGAAAAATGGTGTAGAGTTAAAAAGTTCTAAGAAACCCATCTTAAAACTTTCAAAGTTCGGAATTATTTTCAGAAGTTGTTGAGAGAAGGCACGCTCGGATCGCAAAGGATTAACATTTCCAACAACGTACGTACAATTGAATAACGCGAAGAGGACAATGCATTTTGTGTACGTCAGTCGCATTACGAATGATTCTTTTTAGTACATGTACAATCATATGGCACAAAACAAAACATTGACACTGTAGGGCTACTTACATACATATTTAACAGATAAAAACGAGCGATGACTAACGCGCTAAGCCGCTGGAGTCACGCTACGCGCCCAGTCAGTTCGAAAGGGTCGTTCAGGTTTCTCCGTCGATTCGCTGTATACCTGCTTATTCAAAAATCTGGACGGCTACGGTCGATGTAGGCTTTAAGCCTTTACAGACCGTTTTTTCTGTTCATCTAAATTACACTTTCTGACGAAAATATTAAAATCCCTTTTCAAGGGAACACGAGTCT